TTTTTTTTTCTTCTCATGGTTTCAGTGAAGTCCAGAAATCTGCTGTCCACCTTCGAGGACGAGCAGCCGCACCTGCTGGGCCTGGGCGGCGAATACCCCGAGCAGTGGGAGGACGCTCCGGCCGTGGTGATGGCGGCGTGGCGGCGCTCGGAGCAGCAGAAGCTGGCGGTGGAGCCCGGCGGGGGCGAGACACGCCCGCCGCCGTTCAGGAGCAAAAGCAACGAAACGCAGGCGCACAGCGAGCTGCTGCTGGACCTGCAGAGGTAAAAAAAAAACGCCCGGCCAGAGGGCCAGAAGCCCCTCGTCCAAAGCGCCTCTCCCAGTGTCCGTCAGCGTCTCACCCCCTCTTTTGTTTCTGTTTTTTATTTTATTTTATCTCGCAGGTCTCTGGAGCAGAGAGCGAGTGAGAGCAGCAGGAAAGTGATAGAGCTGGAGCGATCGGTCAACGAGACCTCCTGAAGTGGGAAAGTCAACACCGCCCGATGAGTTTCCCCCTCTAGAGCATGTTCAGTGTCCCGGGAGCAAACCCCCAAGCGGCAGTCCCCGCTGCCGATTGGTTAAGGTCAAACGTTTCGACGCCATCTCTGCTCAATCAGATACACTGTAACGGTAGAAATAATAACCGAGAGGCACAGGTTGCCTTTTTATTTCTGAATTAAAGTTGCACTGATAAGTTTAATAATGAGCTGGCTTGCGGTTTGCTTTACTTGACCCAGCTTTTGTTTAAGAGAGAAAAAAGAAAATCGCATAAAAAATTGTGTGGCGTTTATTCCAGAGGAAATATAATAATTAAATAAATAAAATATGACATGTGAGGCTTTGTACAGGACACGGATGATGTACTTCTGTATTTATAGACTTTTTTTTCCTTTTTTTTTTTGTGGTTTCTTTTCAATATTTTTATTTCATTCCAGTAATGCATTCATCCCATTTTGATACCATATTTTGTGTTTTTACTATTTTATTGTACTATTTTATATATATGTATTGTTCATATTTACTTTATTAGCGTCAGAGTTTCATGCATTGAGGCATTGTTTCTGCCTCTTTTGGAGAATCTGAGAAGTCTCTTAAAAGGTCCTTTTAGATGTTAACAAGTATATTGATTGATAAATGGTCATTTCCCTTCCATTTTTCGGATACTTAAAGGTTGACCTATCGATCCGTGGCCGCGTTGATCCTGAAAATACAAAGAAATTTGTCGTATTATACATTTGTCGACCTTTTTAGCTTCTCTTTGAGTAATCTGTGGGCAATGTATTACCCTTAGTGCTCTGCTAAAGTATTTAATTTGTTCTTGGGTTATATTTGTGTACTAGACCACAAAAAAAATGAGTGTGAGATAAGAAGATTACCACTGAGTGGGGCTGGCTGGTTCCCTCTGTTTCAAGTATATCATGCCAAGCTAAGCAACGGATTTGATGCACAGACATGGAGTTAAACAAGGACAACAGAGTCTTTCCCAAATTTTTTGGGGAAAAAAGTGCATCTTGAGTGGAAATTTTATCTTAAATTCTCCAATCATTTTGCTTTTCTACCTTCCAAGAGTCTTCATCGGCTGTTTGCCATCTATTGCCTGAAATATTTCTTCTCATAAACGGTGAAAATAGCCTCTTCTTTTTTTTTTTTCCAATGAGAAGGCCTAAATGTTTATGGGACGTGTAGATTTAGAACCATTCCACAATTTGTCTTCTCACTTTTTTTGGGTTCTGTGCTGTCGATGAGTTATGAACGCATGATGCCAGAGCTGCAGGATGCGTTTAGTGTAACTGGAGATCGCGATGTCAAAGTCTTAACTTTGCTCTTTAAAGTGTGGCACAGAGGGTTGTTGTTTTTTTTTTTTGTTTTAAGTTCTGCCCTGTAAATACAAGTTCAAACTGTCTCAGAATAAAGCCACAGAACCGTTCCTGGTCAAATGTGTGTCTGCATGTGGCCTTAAAACCTTGGAGATCAGCGGGTATATCGTAATGTGGTGTAGCCTGGTCTTTGAACGTTGCATTCATCAGCACCGGGCCTGGAAATGCTCTGCAGGAAGGACTGTTTGAAACACGGGATCATGTTGTGGTTCTTATTTTTATGTACAAGTATCCTCCACTTTGCAACGCAAATCTTGAAGCCAGTCAAATAGAATGTCTTTTTTATTTGTTTTTTTTAAATCAAATTTGGATTTCCTTACTTTGTGTACCTGTGTAAAAGCAGTCTGAGTTGGCTTCTTTCTTCTTGCCTTTGAAATAAATAAAGTATTTTACTTAGTAAAAGCATCAATATTGTGTGTCTGTGTGCTTATGTATGTATTATATTTATAGAAGTGTAAAGAAAACAGTCTGCCTACTGAACAAATCGAGCTTATAAAGGGTAGTTAAGTCTTTATGGAATATGATATCAAGAAATAGTTTTGAAGAGCACCAGTGAGGGTCAAGTTGATAACAATTTCCAAAAAGTTTTATGTAAGCAATTAAAA